TACAGGGAAGTCGTGGGTAGTAGTCAGGCATGCTGCTGAACATTCTACAGTGCCGAGGACAGCCCCACGGATCAGTGGATAATCTAGTGTGAAATGTCAATAGTGTGAGCAGGAGAGACCTTGATTTAGAGTGATTGATTATTCAGGCCCTCCTCCTCTTCCAGCCATGTCTCAACTCCTGGTGGAAAAGTGTCTGAGTCACCTTTCACCTGGAGTCTGACCCATGCTCTACACCACTATTCCCAGAGTTCTTCCGAAGCAGAAGCAGCAGCAGCAGCAGCAGCAGCAGCAGCAGCGCCTAGGAGCTTGTTTAGAAAGACAGTTTGGTTTTGCCTTACAGGTTGAGTTAGAGCTGATCTGCACCTGTTGCCATTGGGTCAATTTGGCTAATGTCTACGCCGTGTGTTGCAGGGTAGACCTATGCTCCACAGGGTTTTAGTAGAGTTTTGGAAGAAAGCTGTCGGATCTATCCTCTGAGGTATCTCTGGGTAGGTTTGAACTGCCCACATTTTGGCACAACACTGACCGTTTGCACCACCCAGGGATTCCTAGGCCTGATCTTACACCTACATAATGAGAAGCTCTAGGGCCGGGTTCCAGTAATCTGTGTTGTGGTGTGTTCGCTAGGTGATTCTGCTGAAACCCTAAATTTTGAAAACCACCATTCCAAGGATTCTGCAGGGGAAGCTGGCAGCTATGTGGATTGAAGTTGGGGGCTACAACAGCTTGTAACTTGATTTATACCATCTAAATTCATAGACACGTGGTCTGTGGGCCTCTATTTGTACTCTTGCCCAGGGCCCCACACTGATGTGGGAAGGGTCTCAGAATGTTAAATGAGGGAATGGGTTAGAACATTCCTAAAATATCCTTTGCAGTATATGGCTCCAGGGTTTCTTTTGGTCACTTGAGTCTGACTGTATACCCTATACAGACTCTCATAGATAGACACAGTGATTTCAGTGCTTAATCATGGGCAAAATGCTTTTTACTCCTTCGTCCTCGTACTCACTGCCATTGAGACAATGCTGACTGATGGCAACCCCCTGTGGGTTTACAAGACTGTAACTATAGGAGTAGAAAGCCCAGTCTTTTCCCCAAGGAGCTGCTAGTGGTTTTGAACTGCCGACCATGCAGATCCAAGTCCAACGCGCAACCACTACACCACCAGGGCTCCATTTTCATCATCTACCCAGGAGCATTTCTTCAAATTTGTCTGGATATAATATACCAAGAAAATCCAACGCAACCCAATATCATTGAGTCAATTACGACTCCCTGCTCCCACTACCATGACTCGGATTCTATCTTGCAAGACTGGCTAGACCAGAGGAGGTACACTGGTACAGATAGGAACTGAAAATAAAGGGAATCCAGGATGGATGAGCCCTATAGGACCAGTGGTGTGAGTGGCAAAACAGGGAGGGTAAAGGGAGAATGGGTAGGAAAGAGGGAACCGATTACATGGAACTGTGTGTGACCTCCTCCCTGGGGGACAGACAACCGAAAAGTGGATGAAGGGAGACGTCGGACAGGGCAAGATATGACAAAATACCCATTTATAAACTATCAAGGGCTCATGCGGGAGGGGGGAGCGGGGAGGGAGGGGAAAAATGAGGACCTAATGTCGGGGGTTTAAATGGAGAGAAAATGTTTTGAGAAATGATGTACAAATGCGCTTTACACAATTGATGTGTGTATGGATTGGGATAACAGTTGTATGAGCCCCTAATAAAATGTTAAAAAAACAAACAAACAAACAAATAACCCTATAGAGGGTTTATGAGACTGTAAATATTTATGGGAGCAAATAGCCTCGTTTTTCTTCTACTTGATAAACTATAGGATTTCAGAAGCTGTAAATATGTTCTGCGCAGCAGATGTGGTTGTTATTGCTGTCAGGTGCATTCAGCTGGGTCCGTCTCATAGTGATCCTCGCATAACCGAGTGAAACACCGCCCGGTCCTGCACCACCTTTACAGTTGTTCTTCTGTTGGAGCCCTTTGTTGCAGGGACTGTGTCCGTCCACCTTGGCGAGGGCCTTCCTCTTTTTGCCGCCCTTCTGCTTTACCACGCCTGATAGTTTTCTCCAGGGACTGGGCTCTCCTGACAGTATATCCCACGTATGTGAGACAAAGTTTCACCATCCTGCAGATAGTCTCATTTTTCTTAATGCAAACAAAACAACCCCCTGCCATTGAGCTGACTCCAATTCCCAGCAGTCCTACAGGGCAGAGCAGAACTACTCGTTTGGTTTCCGATGCCGTAATCTTGATGGGAACAGAAAGTCTCACCCTCTCTAGTGGATAACCCACTAAACTACCAGGACTCCTTTGATTTAATATAGAAGATTTTATTTGTTTAAGTCAAAAGCAGTACAAATTGACAAACAACACAACAAAAACTGAGTAAATATTAAGTTTCTTCTTTTTTCTAAAAGCAAGATAAATATTACATGTATATTTTCAAGAATTAATAAGTACAGACACATATTTTAGATGAGTATATAAGTTGGCATTACTCTTTGAAGAATAATAGTATCAATCCACTAAATTTTATTTAAAATCATTTTTTTTTATATCTTGATTTGAGGATTTTATTTCTAGGATTTGGTTATAGTATCATGCTTGAAAGTCAGTGCAATGGGGTATGCTTAAGATTGTTAACTACTATTTTTTTTTAATTATTTTATTGGGGGCTCATACAACTCCTATCACAATCCACACATAACATCCATTGTGTCAAGAACACCTGCATACCTGTTGCCATCATCATTCTCAAGACATTTTCCCTCTACCTGAGCCCCTGGCATCAGCTCCTCAGCTACTATTCTTCTGCTGTAGCCCTGAAGTGGAAATAGCACACATGTGCATCAATAGTGTATTGGTTAAGTCAGTACTGGAATATTCATTTATTTGAACACTTTGTTGCTGTTATATGCTAGTGAGTCAATTCCAACTCATAGTTGCCCCATGTGGGACAGCAGCTCCTCACAGGATTTGATTGACCTTGATCTTTATGACAGCAGATTGCTAGTCGTTCTTCCTGGAGCTGCTAGGTGGGTTAGCAGAGAGTGCTTAACCGTTGTGCCGTCCCAGTTCTGTAATAGAACACTAGGAAGCTAAAAGAGAATACGTGTGCTGTGAATGAAGGAAGATCACGTGGTGTTTTATGCTCAGAGACATTGCTGCTAATCCAGAGAGATTTAAAGCCCTCTTCGGCCACCTGCTAGATGTGCAATCGTGGGCAAGTTACTCATTCTCTCTTTGCCTCAGAGGGGTTGGGAGGACTAAGATAAATTAAGTTAGTCTTTAAGTGCTTTCCATAAAGAAAAGAGATAAAAACACGGTAGTGATTTTTTCAAAACTTTCAAGACTTAGCATTAAATTAAAACATTATCCACAACACAGAGAATAGTGTGTGTAGATTCCAATGATAAGGCATATACAAGGGAGTTTCAAAAATGTCATGAAAAAAAAGAATGAAAAGATAATGGAATGTTTTCAACGGATTTTTTAAAGCCGTACACATGAATTATAGAACAGTTGCATCAAGGACACTCAAACAATGTTTTCAATATTTGTATTGTCATCAGAGATTGGAAGGAGCCACTTTTTCATTATACAAATATATTTTTTATCATGTGTATTACTTGATCTTGAATGTAGATTAGCTAAAGAAAATGGAAGAAATAAAATATTTAACAGAAGTAAAATAGCTGATTTCAAATGACAGATCTTGAAGAGTCAGTACAAATGTTTTAATGAAATGTGCAATGAATTGGAGTTAGAAAACCCAAAGAGAAAAACATGCTCAACATTTCTCAGGCTGAAATATCTGAAGAAAATAATTCAAGCCTCAAGTTGTCATACTGAAAGATGTATGGGCCAAATATTGAATGACAGAGGAAGCTTCAAAGAAGGTGAAAGGAATGCAGAGCCATGTTGCCGAAAAGATTGACCAATATTCAAACATTTCAGGCGTTACTTGGGATCAAGAACTAATAATATTGAAGGAAGAAATCCAAGCTGCACTAAAGGCACTGGTGAAAAACGAGGCTACAGGAGTGGAGGGAACACCAATGGAAATGTTTCAACAGATGAATGCAGTGATGGAAGGGCCCACTTGTCCACTGCAAGAACTTTGGAAAACAGCTGGAAGAGATCCCTGTACATGCCCATTCCAAAGAGTGGTGGTCTAATGGAATGTGGAAATTTTAAAATCAATCCAAAGTATTTTATTCAAATATGAGTTGCCTAAGAAAAGAAACAACCATTTCATGAACAATTTACATAAAATTCTAAATTTTTTTGAATGCTACGATTTAAACCTTGGAAAAGCTGTAACCATATTATGCGCATTATTGACTGAGACCCTGGAACTTATTGGTGGAATACAAATTAGTAAGAGCACAGGGTAAGGGGAAATACTGTATAATTCTCACCTGTATTGTCCAGAGTCCTTAATTTTTATGTGTGGAATGTATTTTTTGAGTATAATGATTTTGCAAGATGCTGAAAAATTTTAGTTCCAATTTATATACTGTGTAAATGGACACTGAATGAGTACTGGTTATCTTTATTTTATTTTGTGGCATTTTTTTGTAATATTGCAAGAGTGCCCTGGGCAAGGAGAACCGATAAAGTTCAATAAGGCAACCTTTATTTTATGTTTGATCACTGCCTAAAGTTGCTCTGTTTTTTAAGCATTGTAAATTCTATAGAGCACATTTTCTATCACCTCTCAAAGTTCAAATACATGTCAGTAGACAGAATGACGAAAACAGCTGTAAAGATTTGGAACTTTATTATCTCTGTATACAGCTAGTAGCTCCACCTCATGCTGCTCTCCTTCCAGGCAAAATCCCTCCTCATGCAAATCTCTTTCTTGAAACATGGATGTATAATTTTATGCTCTTTTTTGTAAGTGCTAAATAATTGAAGGCCTCCCCGGAGACTAGTGAATTTAGCATATGTGTCTGACTTTTGTTTGTGTGTCAGAGGGGCATCTGTGACAGCGTCAATACAGGAACAGCTGCGAGACTGGCCGTGGCTGACCTTACATTCCAACTGGGAGGACCTTCATGGGATCACCGTGCAGGGGCTGCTGGTGGAAGGGTAAGAATCTCTGATAGGGGCTGGGTGGAGTAGGAGAGCCTTCCTGTTGTTTCTAACTTAAGATAACTGAAATCTGTTACATCAATAAACAACTCCCGTGAAATGACTGTTGGCCTTTCTGGGGCACCATTGTTTGGCTTTTTGCTAGATGTAGATTTTCTTCTCTTGGTTAATAATTGAATTTTTATGATGATTCCCAAGATACTGTGTGGTAAAGAGAGAGAGAGACTTGGTTTCAAATTATTGGCATTTTAAAAAATCCTCATCCGATTTGTCCTAAATTCTCATGTCTTCATTTTCTACCTTTCCTACACACCGCTGGTTATCCAAGGGCATTGAAGTCAAAATCACAGCTAGAACTGGGAGAGTCTGAGAGAGGACTCGAAGGCAAAGAATGAAATTATTCTCAAGGGGCATTGAGGGTCGACTTCTAAATATTTTCCTCTCTTAGGTCACAGCATCTCACACAGGGCTGCTTCCTTTGCCTATGGTCCAGGTAGAGTGTGAGATGCAGGAAGAAGACAAATGAAAGGAATTCACAAATGCAACGACTTTGACATTCCAGGGCTAACGCTAGGTATTTTTGCACAAATTAACTCATTTATTCCTCACAACTGACTCAAAACAGGATTAGCCCTATTTTTTTTGCAGACTGTAAAACCAAGGTCAGAATGAGGACCTCACTAAAAAGCTCACAGCCCATAAATGATGACGGTTTCTGAATTCAAGCCAAGCTTTGCTGTCTCCAAAGCTTATAAAAATGCTTAAAGACACGATCTCTTAAGAATTCTCAAAATGAAAAATTCATGTGGCCATGTCCCTTCAGAATGTCTTGACATTTTGTTCAAAAGTTTGACTCTATTGTCTCTTCAGTCAGATTTTTAAATATTTGTCAACTGAAGGACTTTCTCTAAAACAATGACCTGCGTCTTTCGACAAAGTGAATGTACCACCCCACACCGAGACCGGCAGGAACGTTTTCTCAGTTCAAATGAGCTGATCAATCTAAATTGGGAGTTGGTGCACCTGGCTCTAATCTTGCCCTACTCATCGGATGTATGCTGTTACAACACACTTTAGACCACCATTTTCTATCAAAGTCTTTGATGTCTTTTCTGATTCCTAAAAGCTATCATACTGTGATTTAGTAAATAACTTATTATCGGGGATATCCTCTGTCCCACGTTGAATTCTAAACTCTGAAGGGATGGAAAGTTAAATGAGGGAGACAAGGGTTTTGATCTGGGGGAAGATCTGTGTAAGAATGAGGAGAGGACTGATAAACTAATACAAGAATTTTAAAATAAAAAAAGAGATTTTGGCAAGTGCTACAAAGCAGTGGATGGTTCTGACGGCGAGTAAGAATGATAGTAATCTTAGCTTGTGGGAAGATAAAACGCAAATGTGTTTTTCTCTGTATTTTATAATTTATAGTAGACCCCAGAAAACCTCACATATATTCCCCATGTATGTGTTACAGGAAATAAAACTAGTAAATCTTCAAAAAGGAATATGCTAGTGATATATTTAAGAATTATTTAATTTTTCAGTTTTCCTCTGAGAGAGCTAGGATTTCATGTACAGCCCAGTGTTTTTGAAAGCCTCGATGTGTTTTACACTTCACTTTAAGTTGTAAATAGATGCTTATTGATTGGAGGAGAATTTAGAGATTGAAATATATCCTGCCCCAAACTGTTATACAAGTGTATATTGACACCATGAATCCGAGCCAACTTGGTAGCACCTAACAACAACCTAAGCCCACAGCTTAACGATGGTGCTGATTCTGCCACCTACAGTTCGATGGAAGAGATGTTTATCTTCTCTGTCTTTTATCTGTTTATTATATCCCTGAAATAACACATGACTATCCTGTCAGGATGCTTTCAACACGGATTTCCTTGATCGGATTATCAAGGTTTTGAAATAATATTTTATTTTATTTTCAGATTCAATATTTGGGGGTGTTTTTGAACCCATACCTACTCTCCAAAAGCATAAATTCCGACATGCTCTCTCCTCAATACAGAGTCAAAGAAGCAGCCCCAAGCCACGCCTTCCTTCCCTCTCTCTACCTGGAGACTCATGGTTTCAGCGAACATTCTGGGTGTTACTGGCAGCCAAGACAGTGTTGAAAATCTTTGCTAATGACAGCTTCTCCCCCCTACAAATGTGAACCTACATCATTATAATAATTAATTTTTAAGTATGTAGTCACCATGCAACCCCACAAGAGGTGATATCAGACCACACCTCTACCTTGAACATCTCTTCACTAAGCATCATTGTTCAAAGACTAATAGTCCAACCTCTGTCTTTTGCCTTGCCCTGACAAAGTGTTTGGAGTGAAATTAATATGATGCCACTTTCTATTTCCAAATCTAGGCAGTCTTGCCAGAGCAGCAGTGCGGTTTCCCTCCTGTGCACTGAACAAGGTAAGAGTGATCCGATCTTCAATTGGGCTCGCTTGGCTTAGGGGGAAGAACCCTTGTAGAGGACAGTAAAGAGCCTCGTATTTAGCTGTGCTTGGCGATGAATCACAACGTGTGTCTTGGCCTGCTCCTTGGTAGACTGTGGGCGCCGCCCTGCTGCCCGAATGAACAAGAGGATCCTGGGTGGTCGGACGAGTCGCCCCGGAAGGTGGCCATGGCAGTGTTCCCTGCAGAGTGACCCGAGTGGGCACATTTGTGGCTGTGTTCTCATTGCCAAAAAGTGGGTCTTGACGGTCGCCCACTGTTTCGAGGGGTAAGCTGCACTCTTTCAGTTTCACTTTGCCTGAACGTAAATCTTTTTGTTGTTTTGGGTCTTCTCCATGGTATGTTCATTCTGTAAAGGCATTTCAGTGCAATAGTCACCACTGATCTCTTTCCCAGGCCTTTATCTGCCTGGACTTTTCCCCCCCTTCATCCCTGGTGCTGTTATTCAATACATGCGCTACTCAATCAATGGTTGGTAAGGGAGGTGCATTGCTTCAGATTACATCTTAAGGCAGTAGGCATGGGAAGACATTTAGAAGGCTGACGCTCCAGCCAGCTTGACTCCCTTTTTCTACCCTTCTTGAAACAGATCATTTTCTTGGAACCTAGTGACGTTCGATGCTAGAAGAGCTGGTGAATGGTTTAGGGAGGAGAACTAAAGTACAGTAAGCTTAAAGGAAACAAAAATGAGATCAAGAGCAAACTCGCCTCAAAGGAGCAAAGGTCACTGCAGAAGGTCTGCACCTAATGTTCCAACACGCTGTTACTGTGTCATATAGCAGCATGAAAGAACCATGTATGATGCTCATAGCTTCTGAGGCTCAGGCATGGGGACAGTACAAGCTGGCAAAGTGGGTCTCTGCTCAACAATGTCAGGGGCTGGAAGATGCCAAGGCTGGGGACTAAAGTCATCTCATCTGGAAGTCGCTAGTGCTTCTTGATGGGGGACCTCAGCTTCTCTCCACGTGGAGCTCACTCACAGCAAGGCGGTGGCATCCCCCAGATGGAGCTTCCCGAAGAAGAGGAGCCTGAAGGAAGCTCTCTCTCTTTTTGTGGCTCCACCTCCAAGGTCACACTGAATTGCTGCTGCTGTGTGGCTGAGGAATGCGGTCACGAATCCTGGCGAAAGTGAAGAAACAGTGACCTCCTCTCTGAGTGGGGGTGTTCAAAAGATTTGAGGAAATCTTTTAAAAGCCATTGTACCACACATTCTATACTATTCCTTTTTTCATACTTTTATTTTACTTAGAAGTAATATTAAATGATACCCCCAATCTAAGACAAAATTACCCGCTATCCTTTCACCTAAGTAAATGTTTTCATTGGACCAAGTTAGTTTTTATAAAAATTAAAATTTCTCCATCCACCCCCCCCACCACCAATTTGATTATTACTTTTTTTTCTCCAGCTTTGTCATTTACTGACTGTGTGACCATGAGTCAATTGCTAACTTCTCATTTGTGGGCTGGGAATAGCATCAGCCCTTACCTCACAGGGTTGGAGTGGGTATTAAGTGGGATAGTCTCTGTAAAACTTCAAGGCTCATTTGGAGTATCATTAAAGGTGAATTTCTGTTTTTAAATAACGATTGCTAAAAGCATCAATTACTAATTTCTTATTATATAGCACTCATATTTTTGTAGCCTGTTAGCATTTTTGTTTGTTTACACACTTTACGGTGGATATGTAGATACAGCAAAAAGGTTGACACTATGACCAATCTTAAGTATGCAGTTCATTGCCATTAATTATTTCACCATGTTTACTATGATTGTTCTACAGAAGTTTGTCATCCTCCCAAACAGAAGTTCGGCACCCCTTAATAACTCCTAGCCCTTCCCCAACCTTTGTACCTGCAACTACTTAGTGGATTTTTGTCTCTCTGCCATGCCACTTCTAGATATTCCTAAAGCTAGCATCACCCAATATTCATTCTTTGTATCTTATGTATTTCACATGGAATGATGTTGTCAAGGTTCATTCATGTCATGGAAAACAAAAGAAGAAAAAAATCCACACTTAACTGCCATCGAGTCAATGCCGCCTCAGCATGGCCCTGTAGGGGGCAGGGTAGAATGGCTCCTGTACGTTTCAAGGTGATGCCTCTTAATGGAAGTAGAAAACCCCATCTTTCTCCCATGGAGAAGCTGGTGGTTTTGAACTGGTGACCTTGTGGTTAGCAACCCAACTCATAACCACTCAAAACCTCAGCTTTCTTTCTGACTGAGTAATAGTCCAGTGTATGGACATATCATGTGTTGTTTATCCACTCAGTTGTCCAAAGACACCAGTTGTTGTGACCTTGGGGCTGTTGTGAGTGGTACTGTGGTGTGCAGAGGGGTGTACTTTCCGATCACTCTCAAGGGAATCTTTGCTCCAATGTGGTTTCCGTTATAATTTCCTTACACTTTCGCAGGGACGCACCTTTGTCGCAGGAAATCATGGCTTATTTTTACAATGTGGAAACAGATTCTATACTTTTGTTTGTAAGTTGTATTTCTCATTTAGAAATATGTCAAGGTCAGCCCTACAGATCAGTTGACACAGCTCTAGCACATTCTTTTTTTTTTTTTTAACTCATTTTATTAGGGGCTCATACAACTCTGATCACAATCCATACTGAGAGAGCTAGGATTTCATGTACAGCCCAGTGTTTTTGAAA